CAGAAATCACTCTTAATGGGATCTGCCAGAGGTTATAGTGTTTCCCAAATTGCGGGAATGGCATTCCCTGTATGCCAGTTTTGGTTAGGGGTAGGAAGGAGGATTGCAAATTCTCTGAATTTGCAACTGTAGTAAACAGAAATCTCTGCAAATAATTTTCATGGCAAGTGTATCCAATGCAAATGCTTGAATTACCAAAGAGTATGACATTTTATTGCTGATCAGTGAAGTTCCTTCATGACATAAATTTGTAAGAAATATCAGTTATGAGCTGGAATCCTCAGAATTAACAACTGTTACAGTGCTCCAGATCTGTGTTATAAAGAATTATCGCTCCATGTAAATCTGCTACAAATTCCCTGTGTACATATGTGTTCATATAGATGTATATAGAGCCAGGTGGGGATGCAAAAACAAAGGTCTAAAGTGGTGAGACACTATTGATTTTGAGTTTTTGAGGTCACAAGTGTTCACAAGTTGTTTTGGTACTTAATGGTCCATCTTGTTGAATACTTGTTCAGTTTTTTTGATCCACATTTGACAGGTTTTAACTTCAACTTGAAGACCCACCGAGTGTTAAAGCTCTCATTCATCTCTAAGTCTTTATGATTTTCTTTTGAGAAAATCTGTCTGTCATGTAATCAGTTGTTCAGGTTTACAACATGTAAACGGTTCCTCCTGTGTTTTGTGTGATTTTCTCTGTGAACAGTGATTTGAATTTGGTGGTTTTAATGGAGGATCATTGTCATCACTGTGTTTGTCTCAGACTCACTTGTGGTCAGTGCTGGCTAATGGGCACCGAACCATAACCAGAAGGTGCAATAAACTCTGTAATTAACAGTCATGATCTGTCTCTGTGAGAATCTTGACCTAAATTAAAACACTCAGAAAGATATTTATATGAAATTCAATAGAATTCTTCATGAGTGGATGACATGATCTAGTTGTGGATGGCATGACTTGTTTTGCAGCATCCATTCCTTGAAAATATGAAATGTCTTTCTCAGGTTTGGGTAATTTTCTTTTCAACTGTTTTGGTTAAAGTTACTGGAAGTTTTTAGCCTATAAGTAAAATGAGTTTTATTTTTCCATTGAACTTTTGATGATTGTGTGTATTTTCTCTCTGTAAAATACTTATGTACTCAAACTTCCTGTGCTTGAGTGAATAATATGTGGATAGGCCATAGAATAGGTCAGTACACAAATTTCAGGATAGATTTACAGATATATAAGTTGATGATACTCTTAATTAAACTGATCTCAAGAACATACTCTTGTTTTTCTGGAAAAATAACTTACACTGCAATTTAAAATGTCTTATTATTGCTTGCCCCACAGGACACTTAGGGTTTTATTTCTTTTAAAGCCACTTTCAGTTGTTTCCTTCCCTGATGGTACCTATCGAGCAAAGTGTTTGATCACTGTTTGTCTGTTTGCCAGCATTAGGGTGGCCTGGCTTTTAAGGACAGCATAGTTCCTTCAGTAGAATTTTTCCAGCAAAACCCACAGTAACTCCCTTATTGTCAAGAAAGATTTATATCTCACTCAATAAGGAAGAAAAAAACTTTAGAGAGTAATGGATTCTGTTGATGTAACTAAGAGCAATAACTATACTTATCACCAGGGCTTCCCATTAATGTGTTTGTGTTACTGTCCAATACCTGTTGCTAGCAGGCTTTCTACATTTAATTAAATAAATACAAGCAATTTCAGATCTGAGGATGAATGTTGTGGGGTTTTATAGTGTGATACTTAATGTATTTTGGGGTCTGATTTTGTATATAAGAGATAGTATATTTGACTTTCAGATTTTGTCTGTAAAAGGTATCATGAACATACACAGTAGCCTGGGAATATTGAAAAACAGAAAAGACGGAATAAAAACAAATAGTATGTAACTCTAATTTCTAACCAAAAGCTTTTATTACAAGGTAAATTTGGTGCCAATACTTAAGGTATGCCTGAAAATTCAGCTGCTTAAAACCTCAGAATGAAATGTGAAACAGGAAACCTTTTGCTTTCTTATATTTTACACATATATTTCCAATTGAACTAAAACCCCTCTTTGCTTTTAATAAGTGTAACTGTAATTTCAGCAGAAAGAAAATCATGGATTAATACTTAGGTGATTATTCTTCAAAGGTATCACCCAAGCACTTTTCCCTTTTTTACTGTGTTGTCAGTGAGATCACAAAATTTCATTTACTGCTGTCAGAAATTTAGCCAAACTCCTCCCTCCATCCCTCCCCCAGGCATCACAGTACATAAGAAAACTTTCTGCGTGGGAGATGGCCGGGGAGCAAGGATGTTCTTGGGAACAGAATGGTGAAGGTGAGAAAACAAGGACTTTCTGTCTCTTTGGAGATAAAAGCCAGACAACATGAGCTTCAGAAAGCAGTGTGAAGGTTTTTTATTTTGAAGAGAATGTTGTAAGTATTTTGGTTTTGCTAAATATTTTTATACTCTGTGAAATCTCAATTGCCTATTTTCCTAATTTATATCTATGTGAATTTGATCAATATATTCAGGGATGTGTGTGTACAAGTGTATGTCTATATATATAAAAATATGTACACATAGGTTTTTAAGTCTTAGATGTGGTTTTATTTGAGGTACAGGGAGCATTTGCATAAGCAAATGTGCCTTCAATGTAGAATCACTATATTGCTGTAAATATATAGCTCTTCCTATAATATCCATGTGTCAGAAAAACATTTTACTAAATATTGATATATTTTTCATTTTAATTTTTGTCTTGTTTTGTTGTATCAGCTTATGCATGGCATTCCTCAAATCAGCTGTAGTACTGTTTAATCTCAATTATACTCATCTTGACACAGTGAATTTTCTTTACCTACACAAGTCTGGAATGTTTTTCTTACAAAAATGCTGGTGGGTGATTTTTTCCAAGATGTTTAAGAAGTGCACAGTCCAGCCTATTGCATACATTTCTGATTTTGGAAGTAATGAGTGATTATATTACAGCATATTTTATTATATTGCATATTATTATTTTGATATTTTTGAATAACTTTGTATATTACATTTGTTAAAAAGACAAACCAAACCAAACAACACCCCCAAAGAAACCCCCCCAGGCAACCAGGCAGTAGATATTTATCCAAACAATCCAAACACAAAGTTTTTCTTGGTTTGAGGGAGCAAGTGGGAAATAGAGAATGACGGACAAAGTGCTAGTTGTAAGAAATGGCCATGAATATTTGAAACAGTAGTAGTCCTCTAGAACGTCCAAGTTTGATTTTATAAAGGACTAAAATCTCTTAGATCTGCTGATAACTATTGAGATTTAAATAAAGAAAATTGTGATCAGAGAGTAGAAGTATTTACCTTTTATGAAAACTGAGTAGGTGATAGCTGTAGCTTTTGGCAGGGTATTGTACAGCATAGAAAAGAGAGTTTTGTCTGTCCTGTTTCCTAAGGTGTTGCTCTGAGCTGTTTTCTCATTTTTTCTTCTTCCAGATGAAGAGACGAACACATCTTTGTTCCCACGTGGAAGAATCTACTAAATGCATCCTAAAACCAAAATAAGCTGTTAGTTTACTCTTTGTTTTTTTTCAGATCCAGGTGCTCACAGGAAATATTTGGTGAGTGGCTCTTGAAAAGGGAATGGATAGAAATAGTTTGGGACTCAGAAGTGGTTATAATACATGCTAAAACTAGATTGAAACATATATAAGGACATTTTTATGTTTATGTTCCTTCTAGTTTTCCTATCTCAAGAAACTCCTCAAAATGCCCCTTACTGACTTTGCTTGTGTTTTACTGTGCAGTTCTATGAGTTTAAATTCCACTTTTTTGGACTGTTGGAGATCTAATGGTCAATAGTTTGATTGCTGTTACCTTGCCACACTTAAAAGGAACTCCTTCTGCTTTTAGGGAACTGAAAGGAGTTTTGAAATTTGCATAAATGGGACCAAATCAAGGAGTTGTGTATAAGGCTTGAATTTGTATTTTGTTTTTCAATCCAAAAGTCTAAATCTGTTAGTTATCATCTCTAGTGATAAGTCATTACCCCAGGAAGCATCTTGAAATTGTGTCTCTAACACTCTGTATTAATAGATTCATTTTTTGGCATTACTTTGCTATTCTAGAAAATTGTCCCAAAGCCCAGCTTTTATCTTAAGAAAGTTTAATAGCAAATTGTACTTTAGTAGTGCCCAGTGTCTGCTTCTGTTAATGACTTGATGTTCACCCCTTTCTATTGCTTTCCACGTCATTTGCTCAGTAAATTTGATCAGTCTCTGTGGAATTCCTCGGGTAACACTTCACCTCAGTGTCTTAACTTAAAAATTCAGCTGGTTCAGCAGCCTGTGACGAGGTGGCTGAGTTCAGCTGAGCTTCAGGAATTCTGAGTAGTCACTCTGTCTTTTTAAAACGATTTAGCCATCTGTATCACAAGGATTTTTTTCAGTCCCATATTCTTAGCTTCCTCTTTCCTAACCCAAGTCACAATCTGTAAATACTTGGCAGTTTTTGAAAGGCCAAAAAGTCTGTTGTTCTCTATGAGCACTAGTATGTGGCTGGTACAGGTCTGTTGAAGAAATCCTCTCACGTTGTCCATGAATGCTTGTCCAACTATGACTTCTGGTCACTGTTGCTGAAGGGAATGTGTAAGGTTTTCTTGCTCTTGATCACTGCTTTTGTCAGATTCAGTCTTCACTTTTTTTTCAAAAATTTATCTCCCACATCCAGAATACTAAAACAATGTTTGTATTTGCTAAAACAGTTTTCTTTGCTTCATTTATTACAGTCAGTGTAGTTCCCTAAAAGCTCAGTCTCTCTGTTGTCTTTAAAATTGTTTTGAAGATCAAATAAATCTTCTTAGAATTATAAAAAGTGGAAAAAAAAAAAAAGAAAGAGTATCTTGATTTTCACTTTATCTTTTGGGCTTTCTACTGCAAATGGGTCTGTGTGGTTTGGCAACGTACCAGTTCTTTGGTTCCATTTTGTTACCATGGCAAATTCTAATCTCTGAGCTGTGGTTTCTGATCAGATTTGAACTTGCTTGTAAAGTCCCAGAGGAGGAAAAGAAAAACCACCCAAGTCCCATAAACCCAAATAAAATCATTGCACAATCATTCTTGCTTGTATATTCTTTTTAAAGGAATATATCAGCATCTGAAGAAGAGTCCTGTAATTACAAGAGGGTATTGATTCTCTTACATGGTCCAATATGAGCTGGCAAAACAGAAGTAACACAGCTGGACCTCAGCAATCAAAAATGCAATATTTTAAAGACTCGGTGGTGACCAAAATGTTTATTAATTTGGAGTAATCAGTCACAAAGGACAAGTCATCCTGTCCTGTAGTGAGTCAATTTTTTTTCCATCTTTCACGTAAATTGCTGTCATCTACAATAGTGTGACAAATTCAGACATTAGTAACTGAACAGTTACAGTGATTTGCCTCTGTAAAGTTCCCCTTGAATGTTCTCAAAATGCAACTGCAGAAAGCCTTCAGCCAAACTCAGTGTTGGCCTTGCTTTGTGGAGGGGAAGGGTCTGATGAGCCTTGGGGACCTTTCCAATTACACCATTCTGTGATCACATATAAGCAACAGGGGTGGGAGATGCGGAACTAAAATCTGTTTCCAGGAAGTACAGAGAGACAGTAACTGAGGTGCAAGGCTGCTGATACTTTAAGCATCTACGGAGAGAAACAACTTGATGGCTGTCAGAGTTCTGATAGAGATGTGATTTTGTCACTTCCTAGCTGGAAAGGAAAAAAATATCACTTCTGTAACCTGAATTACACAGGGTAGATCCAGAATCAGGTGTTGATCTTTGTTGGGTTTGTTTTACATTGCTCCTTCTTTTAAATGAATGAGCTTCTAGTGGTTTTTGCCTTATATCCTGGGTGCATCAAACAGAGCAAACACAGGGGTGGCCTCACATGGGGCACTGCGTGTGGTTCTGGGCCCCACAATTCAGGAAGGATGTGAAGGTCCTTGAATGCACCCAGAGGAGGGCAAAAAAGCTTGGGGGAGGGCTAGAAGGAATGTCCTGTGAGGAGGGGCTGAGGACTTTGGACTTGTCTAGTTTGGAGAAGAGGAGGCCAAGGGGTGACCTCGACACTCTCTACAGCTTCCTGAGGAGGGGAAGTGGAGAGGGAGGTGCTGAGCTTCTCTCCCTGGTATCCAGTGACAGCATGTGTGGGAATGGTTCAAAGCTGCACTGGGGGTGGGTTTGGGTGAGACATTAGGAAGCATTTCTTTACCAAGAGATTGGTTGAACCCTTGAACAGGCTTCCTAGAGGGGTGATCAATGCCCAAAGCCTGTCAGTCCTCAAGAGGCACCTGGATGTAGCATTTGGGTTCACAGACCCCGTCACTCTGGGTGTGGGCAACGGAATTAATTTTATTAAGAACAAGAAAAGCTGATATAGACAGTTCAAATCATGATACATCATAACATGTGACCACCTCCCATCACATTCGAGCACTCCATTGAGCATGTGCAACAGAGTACCGAAGGACTACAAGTCCCATAATGCCTTTCGTCACTCTTCCTGTAATATAAAACGCTACACTTGGACAGTGAGTGCCCTCACTAACAGGCTTTAACGTGGTCAGCCCTTGTCACATGAAAGGGGGGAGGAATTCACCCAACCATTAGAGAAGGGAGATTTTCTCGACCCACAGGGATTTATTTGTCTGTCAATGACCCAGGGAAAATGAAACCGTGTATGTCTGATCAGTCTGTCAGGTATCCCGCAAGGGGACTCCACCAAGCAGATTCACAAGATCAGAGGGTGTTTCAATTGCCTTTATCGGGGAAGGCCCCTCAGCGGGCCTTCTGACGTGTTGTTCCACCTCTGGAAAAATGTCAGCACTTATAAAGGGCTCACCCTAGCAGTTTACAGAAGAACACTCTTTTCTAATACAAATCGTGGCAGGTTAATATAGTTCATAGGTCATCAGTGATAGTATCTACCTGCAAAAACATATTAAAAACAATCTAACGGTGCTGTAAAGCAAGCACAAACACAAAGCCTAATGTAAAACAATCTACCAACATAGTAGGAAGCATATTATCCAGAAGTATTGGTGGAAATCTTCCTCCAACCTTTCTCCATTTCCAACTTTGTTTTATACTATTTCCTTAAGTTTAGGTGGAGTTAGAGTGAATCTAGCCATAAATACTTAATTGGGTAGTCATCCTTGGGATCTGTCTTGCTCAGTGGGCAGATATAACATGGTCTTTGAACCATAAAGTGTCACCATGTTCCCCTTCCTGCAGGATCTTTATGAAGGGAGGCTGTAGTGCCTTCATGTTACTCCCTTCTCTGTTGCATCCCACATAACAGGTGCTTATCATTGTTTTGGAGGAACTATTGTGGGGCATTGTGACCATGCTTCATATGGGAAGCAGCAGCTGGGTCTCCTCTGTAGTTCTTATTTTCTTTTAATTTTTAATCCTATCCATTACCCCACAGCCCTGAATTGCTCAGACAGTTGCACTGGATGGTTGTTGTGAGTCCCTTCCAGCTGAAATAGTCTATTCCCGTTCTACTCTATTCTCTTATATTTTCATGCAGGGTTTCATAGAAGAAATAATTTATCTAATAGATAGTAGTTTAAAGCTGTGTATTGTTTATGTTATTTTCTAATTGTTCATAACTTTTTTTCTTAAATTGCCTCTAGCACTTGAAACAAACATTCAGAAGGAAAAATGGATCACTGGTGTTGGCCATCAGAAACCAACAGCTTTCGACGTTTCACCCCTGAGTCCTTGGCAGCAATTGAGCAAAGAATTGCTGAGAAAAAAAAGCAGCCAGACAAAGAAAAAGAGAAGAATAAGGACGAAGGAGTTGAAGAAGAACAACTTACTCCCCAGCTTGATTTGAAAATCTGCAAAAAGCTGCCATCTCTGTATGGGGACATTCCAGCAGAGCTCATTGGGGAACCCCTGGAGGATTTTGATCCGTACTACAGTGATCACAAGGTTAAAACTTCCAAAAGCATTTCTTTGATTTCACTTTGTCTGCTGAATTCTTAAGAGATAGTAAAAGCTCTAGTTGGGAGACGCTGGGTTTTGATTGTTCTGCAGACAGGTCTTTTGACATTCCTGACATCTTTTGGGGCAGGAGTGCTAAGGTGTGCTCTGCTTTATGCCATGAAGAGGTATCTTCAGTTCCAGTCAGCAGTCAGATTTAATGATGAGGACATAATACACATGATTGATATACTTCTACAGGAAATATATTCTGGGTTATCCCAGATGGGATGCTTTGTTTTGCAGAGCAATTCCTATGATGCCTGTGAGGCTGAACTCCCTGTGGTATAAAGAGTGCCTGTCCAACAGTAGATCATGCTGGAATTGCAGAAACTTTCACTGAATTACAAAGACTATACCAATGAGGGGAGGCATATTTGAGATATTTCCAGCATTCTGTGTAGCAAACCCATGTATTTGCATTGTTGTAAATTAATGTTCTCTTATTTTATGTCTCGTTGGCTTTGTTTATTGTGCCATATTGATATTGCAAATCCTCCATGCGATTGCAAAGGAGTTGGTGTTGTTGCCTGTGGGAGTGTCTTAAGTAGATGCTGTAGGAATCCCTCCTCAATTAAATGGCAAAAAAAATTAGTTCATTTAAATATTCTATATCCTATAAATCTTTTCTTTTTAGACTTTTATGGTGATAAATAAAAGGAGGACCATTTTCCGGTTTACTGCAACACCTGCCTTGTGTATATTTGGTCCTTTTAATCCAGTTAGAAAAGCAGCAATTAAAATTCTGACCAATTCATATCCTTTAATTGGTTTCCCTTATTTGAATTTTAAAATATTCTGTATCATTTTCTGTCATTCTGTTCCTCTCTTTATATTAATGTGAATGTAAGCTTATACGGCTGTGATAGAGATTTTTTAGAAGTTATATTGAATCTTATGTTACAACAGCTGAGATATTTGCATAATGTTGGTGAAAATGTGAAAAAGCTGATATTTAAAATCAATTTTGCAGATAGTGGTATGAAACAACCTTTAGAGGCTATTGTATGATATTGTAGCCCTTTACCAGAACTTGTTCGAAATCTCTGCTGTGGTCACAAGGTTAAATTAAAAACATACAAACAAACAAACAAAGCAAACCAGGGACTCCCTAGTTTTTAAGATATGAAAGATGGGATTTCTGGTGAAGCTTTGCTGGAGGAGTCTCATGTTCTTCTGAGAAATATGTTCCACACTCAAGTTTAGAATGTTCTGAAGAGTGCCCATTTTTCATATTTTTGAAACAATAGAACTGTAGTTTGGAGAATGTCAGAATGTGGAGGATTTGCAGGTGCAAAACCATCAAGTGAGTAGTTTCTGCTTTTTCTGCTGAACATCTGTTTTCATTTGGAATTATTAGTTTGTAGAAATACATCCTTTTAGTGGAACTTATGTCTGACTTTGAATGTGTATTTCTGCTATTAGAAATTACTAAATTTACTATTAACTTTCAAATTAACCCTAAATTTAAGAACCATATTTGTTTAAACAAAAAAAAAGCCAAACAGTTTTATTAGATGACAGGTGAACTTTTATGAAAGAACACTAGTAATTGGTTATTCAGTGTTTTCAAATGGTTTTCCCAGGCTTAAAACCCCTATTTACTACAGAATTTTGGCCCATTTCTCTTTATTCCATCCTCCTGCTGCAAAAAAAAAATTGAGGTTTTTCAAGTTTCACATAACAGTAGACCATTTTTTTTGTTTATTTACCTTTCTCATCTCTTGTGTCAAACATGTTATGTCCCACTGAAGTCCTAACTTCTGAAACTGTCTGCATATTTTTATATGTAAATCATAAAGTTTACCCAGATGAGCAGGTTTGATCTGTTATTAGTCTCTTTGGAAAACACATGAAAAGTCCTGACCATACCCAAAACCAAAGCCATTATTTGCATGTCTGTATGCTTTTTGTGTGGCAATCAGGACCTTCTATAAACTTCATTGTTTTATAATGTAGCACTTTTTCCTTAACTTACTATGCACATGTTTTGTTGGCGTTATCATATGTACCGTGCTACTCAATTGTGTGGTTATGACTGTACGTCAGCTCCCACCAGCACTCAACTGGACTGAGTAAGTATCTCAGTGGTTGTGATCCCTCTTTTTCCATGGATATTTACACATAGGACTGAAAAATTTAAATAATGTGGTGATCTAATTCAGGGCCTTGAAAAATCTCACTCAGACCTCTGAGGAAGATTGAGGATTGTTATTATATCTCCCAGTCTTTGGTGGAGCTTCAGTGCCTTTTCTCAGAGGCTCACACCATATGCCCTTTCCTCTGTGTTGGCTAATTTTGCCATCTGCTGTGACACAGAAGGTTGGCCCATTTTTTCTTTTAAGGATTGAGCCTTTTAGAGAGACTGTGGGGCAGGATTCTAACTTAAAATCTCTCATTCTACAGAAGTAACCTGAATGTCTGTTATGGTTGGCTCAAGCAAAAACTAGAAAGGGATAAGTGTCCATTCTATTCTTTCTCCCTGTTTCCTGGTAACCCTCCTGGTTCAGTTGTTCCCATTAGAAAGGCATCTCTTTGCAATGTCTTGCTACCTTTTATGCTTGTGCACTGTATCCAGTGCAACTTGACTTAATGTTCTAGAATTAAATCTTGAAAATATGCCTGGAACCTCGGAAGTTCTATAATTTCAATTCCTTTTATCTTGGGGTAAGCATGGTGATAACAATAGCTTAATTTTCTGTAGGATTTCTTTCAGTAATAGAATATATGCTCTATTGTTCTGCCAGAATGTTGAGGCTTTGAGATTTTCCAGCCTGCTTTAGAATATAAACACAGTGTTAAAAATGTTTGCTAAGGAAGTGTGAGCTCTCCTTCACCTAGAAATAGTATTGTATGCTTATGTGAACTTTTCTAGTTACAGATTTACTACCTGAAATCTTACTAGAATTCAGGAACACATCTTCTTATAGCCATGATGCTTCTGAAAGTAATGTAACCAGTCCTATTTTACTTCACATTTTCTACCTTTTTTCCATGCAGGGACTAAATCTTAGGAAATGCCTGAATGTGCCGAATGTGACTCAATCTCATTAATATTTTTATTTCTATAACTTACATACATTTTTTCCTCCTCAGAATTGCTTTTACTACCATATATACTACTGAAATACTGATAAAAATAGTAGCAACAGGATTTGTTTGGAATGAATTTACCTTCCTTCGAGATCCGTGGAACTGCTTGGATCTGTCTGTTATCATTGTAATGTAAGTACAACTCAGTTGTTCCTTTACATCAAAGGGAAAAAGCCACAGATAAAATACTATCTGATGTTTCTGAAATTCCTTAGAGTGTTTGCCATCCTACCTGCTAAAGAGTTACTGTGCTTGAACCACCATTTGCATATCTGCAAAGAGAAAAATAGTCATAGGCTGGCTCAGCATGCTTATGCTTTGAAAAGTTACATCCTTGCCATTCAGTTATATGTGCTTTCATTTTATAGGTATGTTACTATGTTTCAAAAAATAGGCAATGTTTCAGCTCTTCGAACTTTCAGAGTACTGAGGACTTTGAAAGCCATTTCAGTAATACCAGGTAAGGAACAATCTTACTAATATCTTCTCCATTTCACCAGTGTGCTAATTCTGATTCCTCTCCTGTTCTTGTCATCAGTTTTGTGGTCATTTTTTGTGACTGCTAATGGGATCCCAAGGTGTGACTGTTTTACAGTCTGTAGTAACTCTCAGCAGCACCCTAACAGAATTGTTTTAATCATCTTTCCTCCAAATGGTTTTGACAAAGGCAAATTTAATTTCTGCATTTTTTATCCCAACGCTAATGTTCAGTTTTACTTAGTCCGATGCCTTTGTCATTTTACTTTTGTGTTCCTGGAGCAACCTCCTCTATTTATGTGTTCTCTTAACACAACATGGTTATACCCCCATATTTTTGTTTCCTTAGCTTAATTAGCTTGCTAAGATTCATTGGCTTAATCTTCCCAAGAATGATGACTTCAAAATATTTGAGACTTTCATTTGTTTCCTTGCTGACCACAGCCACTATCTGGATTCAGTGCAACACTTTCAGCAATATGTTGCATATACCATCCAGGTACTCGATATGTTTCCAAGTCATACCCTTAACTAGGATACCAAAGGATGATTTCAGGGTCTTCCTGCAAAAATTCATTTGAAAATCTTTCTATGGAATTGTAGAAGGAATGAAACCTAGAAAGTGTTTAATTTCAGTGTCAAAATCACACATAAATACTTTTTCTTTCATATTCAGCATGGAGAACAGAGATCAAATATAATTTGACTTTCTTTCTTATGAAAAATGCTGGATATCACTGTCTGTTTATATCATATCTCAAATTCAATTTTTCTCCCTCAATATTGGTCTTTAGTTTATATATAAGGCATTTTCTCTGAATCCCAGAATGGTTGAGTTTGAAAGAGACATCTGGACGTCCTCTGGTCCAGCCCCACTGCCCAAGCAGGGCCACTGAGACCTGGTTACCCAGGACCAAGTCCAGACAGCTTTTGTGAATCTCCAAGGATTGAGACTCCACATCCTCCCTGGGTAACCCGTGCCAGTGCTCAGTCACTCTCCCAGTAGAAAAGTGTTTCCTGATATTCAGATGGAACATTCCATGTCTTGGTTTGTGCCCATGGCCTCTGGCCCTGGCCCTGGGCACCACTGAAAAGCACCTGGATCCATCCTCTTTGCACTCTCCCTTCAGATTTGTGCAGACATGGAGGAGATCCCCCCTGAGCCCTCTCTTCTCCAGGCTGACCAGGACCAGCTCAGCCTTTCCTCATGGCAGAGTTGCTCCAGTCCCTTCACCATGTTTGTGGCCATTTGCTGGACTCTGCAGTGTGTCCATGGGCCAGAACTGGAGCCAGTACTCCAGCTGTGGCCCCACCAGGGCTGGGTAGGGAGAAACAATCATCTCCCTTGACCTGCTGGCCATACTTTGCCTAATGCAGCCCAGGAAACAGTCACCCTCTTTGTCATTTTAATGTGTATTTGGCATAGGGTGAAGTACTTGTTTAGTGATAATCAAGCACAGAAATCTGTCTATGTTCATTAAAGTTTGTATGACTTTTCTAGGATACCATCTTAATTTAGAATCTGCAAGATAGCAAAATTAGCGTTAGTACTAACCAGAAGCCAAAGAAGTTATGATTTGGATCATCATCATGGCTAGGCTTCGCGAATGAAGATTTGGGGAGGGCTCTATCCACATTTGTTACAAGCACGCTGGTGGCTAATAAGGCCAATACGAGATAGACACGTCGATTGCAAAAGGCACAGCAGAAAGACTCCTTAGGTGGTATATTCTGCAAAACACGGTTCTTTCTGCGTTGTCTTTTCTCCTCAAGGGTGATCCTGCGTGCTTTCTCAAGGGCATCAGCAACGTTATAAATGGTGTGTCTCCAGACCTCCCAGTTGGAGGCCAGAGTAGACCAGTTACGCTGATCAGTATGGCCAAGGCTGAGATGTTGTTTCAGGGAGTCCTTGTATCTTTTCTTTGGGGCTCCTCTCGTGCGGCAGCCAGTGGCAAGTTCACCATAAAGCAGGATCTTAGGGAGGCGGTGATCTTTCATCCTGGAGACGTGCCCTGCCCAGCGCAGCTGCGTTCTCAGCAACATGGCCTCAATACTTGTGACTGCTGCTTGTTCTAGAACAGATGTATTGGTCACATAATCTGACCAGTGAATGTTTAGGATTGTACGGAGGCAGCGTTGATGGAAGCGTTCTAGGAGACGCAGGTGGTGGCGGTAGATGACCCATGATTCGGAGCCATATAAAAGAGTAGACAGCACTATGGCTCTGTAGACACTGATCTTGGTACTTTTCTTCAAGTGTTTATTATGACAAACTCTTTTATGGAGTTTTCCGAAAGCACTATATGCCTTTGCTTACTTGTTGTCTATCTCTCCGTCAATCTTACCATCTGAGGAGATGAGGCTGCCTAGGTAATTAAACTGCTGGACTGATTTGAGCTCTGATTTGCCAATGGTGATATGGGGATGATGGAAGACTTCCTGAAGTGCATACTCTTGAACAGACCAATACCCTCTATAGCAGAAGTTCTCTATGATTAGGAAATTTAGGGAAAAATGGTTTACTCTCTGCTATGCTTTGTTTTACCTCATTTAATATTCAGAAGTTACAAACCCATTTACTCTGACTGTTTTTAACATACTTGCAGCTGTTGTGTCTTGTCATATGAGAATGTCACTGCATTCTTCTTCTCATTTTGCATATTATTGGACTTTTTTTTCCTAGGTCTGAAAATCATTGTAAATTCACTTGTTGAATCTGTTAAGAAACTTGCTGATGTCTTCATCTTGACTGTGTTTTGCTTGAGTATATTTGCCCTAATAGGCCTCCAGCTTTTTATGGGCAATTTAAGATTCAAATGTGTCCTCAATAATACTGTGTACAATGACTCATTCTGTAAGGATCCCAAGATCTATGTACCAAGTGATGAAGGTAAATGTTGTTCTTTTCTCTCTTTACATAATCTGTGTATCTTCCTATGAATGTCTTGAATTTCAGAGGTATGTTAAACTATAGTTGCATGTATTTCTCCCAAGAAGGAAAACCCGTCTTAATAGGAAGTCTCTGGGACAAGTGAATGTGAAATTAGTGAATCTTGGATTTGGAGAAAGATTAGCAGTCTGTGGGATAGAGGGGTCTGAGTTTTCTATAAGCATTTGCCTTTTTACCTGTGCATTGCACAGGGATCCTAATTTTAGGGGTACTGCACAGGGTATGGTTATTTTCCCATCAGTTTTTCTGTATTTCAGGGATTTTGCCTACTTCTCACAGAGATTCTTATTTTTACCAGAGACCAAATGAAATCTTACATTGTGAGTTGTGCACTAAATAGTTGATATTTTTTTTAATCTGTCATAGAGACAGATCCGCCGAGATACAGATCCGCCCTATACGTCCTTTGTTGTGAAAGGATCCTTCCCAGAGCTTTGATCCATCAGGGTGTTTATCAAGTGCAGTAAATGTATGGTTTCCTGTCAGAAGGCTGTGCAAACTGACAACTTCTGATTTTATGATTCCTTGATTTATTTTTTTATTAGATATATGCCACAGAATGAATGGCTCTTCTGACATATTGCTCTGTGAGATCAGTTCAGATCCTGGGTAAGTGAACAAGACATTTTTAATATTTTCTTAATTTGTTCCTCCAGATGTACTGTGGTTTTATTTCTGGTCTAAAGGAATGGTGATGATTTTTCAGGAGGATAGGTTGCTTGTGTGTCATTAAAGGCAGACATTTCACCTCAGAAAAAGAATGATGCAACCAGTATGTATGTAATTTGTTGCTAATCACTGGGAATGTAATGGTAAGGTAGAATGATATAAATGAGGAGAGGAAGAGATCAGGAACGCCCTGTTAGATATTAATAAACTCTCCTCTCTTCATCTTGGTGAATTATTTAAAAGTAAAAATAATTCCATTTTTCCCCTTTCTGTGGATTTGTTTGCACATATCCAACATCAGGGGAGACTTTTTGTCTAGTCCTAAACTAAGGTTTCTGTCTAGTTTTCTCTGATTAGACAAACGGCTTTCTAGGATGCTTTGATATAAATCAGCCCTTCTGGTAGAATTAAATTGGGGAATAATGAAATGGACTTTCAGAGAAACTGAACAAATTTGGTGTTGTCTACTGGGTGCTTTCAGGTATCGTTCAATCTCCAAGTAATTATTGTTTAATCTTTATTTTGTGGTTAGGAAAGAGTGCCCAGAAAACTATACCTGCCAGAAGATTGGGCAGAATCCTGACTTTGGTTATACAAGTTTTGATCATTTTGGCTGGGCCTTCCTCTCTGTATTCCGTCTGATGACACAGGATTCCTGGGAGCGTCTCTACAGACAAGTGGGTACTTTTATTACCTGATAGAATGACTTGACATGTGCAATTCAGAGCTTTATGTCCACTAGAAAAATCTGTACTGGTTTTAACCTTACTGACACCACATTTCCTTCAAAATCCATGTAAATATTAAGGAATTAGGTTCAAGTGACTCAGTTGTGACACCTTCTGCAAGGGACATGGAACGGGAGCAATCCTGCTGGGAATGCCCATAGTTCTGTAGCAGAACACACTGGGGTCAGTGGTTAAGAATGAAATATGAGTATGGAACCACCCAAGGATTGGGATATACAGCAGATCCAGCCAGTGAGCTCAGTGCTGCTGCAGGGAGCGTGAGGACTTGTTGCCTTCTCTGTTCCTCTTCCTTTTAAGTGCTGACACCTCACCAAACCTTTTGGCTTACCGCTTTAGTTTCAGATCATTTTTGACAACTGATACTAAAAATTTGGAGGCTTGATGTTTTGATTCAGAGAGCTGAATGTAACCTCTGAATTCTGGTGGGTTTTTTTTTTTCAGAAATGATATAAAAATGCATGTAGACAACACCCTGGATCCCTTATGTCTATGCAGTGCCTTTGCTAGACAAGAATTATACTCTGCCTTGTTCTGTAACTTTTTGTCCATTTTAACTTTTTTTTTCCATCAACTTTTATTAATTAGGACTTTTTTGAAATGGATATATCTTCTTCTTGCCATTTGAAGCTTACATGGTTTTTGGGGTTTAATGTATCAGAGCTTAATTTTGAGCCATCTCCTCTTCTGCCATTTTAAAAAAGTGTAAAGTTAGTTTGAAATTGTATTGTAAACGTTAGTTTGTTAAGAATATATCACAACTTTTACCTTTTCCTCACAGACTATCCGTACATCTGGAGTGACCTGCATTTTTTTTTTTATGGGAGTCATCTTTTTCTGCTCATTTTATCTCTTCAATCTGATCTTGGCTGTAGTAACTATGGCATATGAAGAACAAAACAGATCTAGTCTTGCTGAAACAGAGGCCAGGAAAAAACTACTTCAGGATGCCCATGAAATTATAGAGAAAGAACAGGTTTGTAAATTATTACATATAATAAGTGGTTCCTTTTGTTTTCTTCTGTATGTGAATTAGGAAAATGATGTTTTGAATTAAACATGTGCTTCTTGCAATGCTTTCTCACACTTCATTTCTCTTTTTGTCTGTATAAACGCATGTGTGTATGTATATATGTATATATGAATATGAATATATAAATATTTCTGTGATACAAAAAACCATCATTGAATTTTAGGATTTGCAGACCTGACATTGTATAGGAATGGCTTGCTGGCAAGTTTGTAGCTTTTATGGTATTGCATAGGTGCTGCACTCCATGGTTTTCCCCGTTCTTGTACACTACCATTATTGCTGTGGACAGAAATTCCTTTCTCTGGGTATTCCTTCTTGCTATTACTGTGTCGTCTCAGGAAGGAAATATGAGTGGATACACTTACCTCCATGAGAAAACTTGTCATTTCTGCAGTTCCCAGAAGCTGGAAGTTCCAGTGCTGATAGATTTCAGGCCTGATTAGAAAGCCTTCCAAGAGCCACCATGCTCAGCATTTTAAAGGTTGTCAGGCATCTTTCTCAGTGACAGCATGCAGGAGGTCTATCAGTTGATGAGAGCAGAAATAGTCTTTAGCCAGGATAATGCTGTTTGTTCCATATTAAGTTTCTTATTGACATCCAGAGACTGCATTAGTTTCTTTGCTGTTGTTTTGGAGAGTTAATAAATACATCAGATTTCCACAGTGTTTCCTCTTGGCATAGTATTGTTCCAGTCATTCATGCCTTGGTCTGTAAGGGACCAGGGATCACCTGCTTTTATTTCTGATGCTCATTGAGTCATGGAATCATGGAATGGTTTGGATTGCAAGGGACCTTCAAGATCCTCCAGTCCAGGATGGACTTGGCCTTGAACACTTCCAGGAATGGGGCATCCAGAGCTTTTCAGGGCAACCTATGCCAGTGCCTCACCACCCTGCCAGGAAAGAATTTATTCATAACATCTAATTGAAATTTCTCTTCTTTCCCTTTAAAACCATTAGCCCTTGTCATGTCACTACTTGCCCTTGTAAAAAGTCCCTCTCCAGCTCTCTTGGAACCCCTTGAGGCACTGGAAGGAGCTCTAAGGTCTCCCTGGAGCCTTCTCTTCTGCAGGCTGAATGACCCCAACTCTCTCAGCCTGTCACCAGAGCAGAGGTGCTTCAGCCCTCGGAGCATCTCCGTGGTCTTGGGCAGGTCCATATCCTGCTGATGTTGGGGGGGCCTGGAGCTGGACACAGCACTGCAGGTGGGGTCTCATGAGAGGAGAGCAGAGAGGGAGAATCAGCTGCCTTGACCTGCTGCCCCTGCTTCTCGTGATGCAGCCCAGGACACAGTTATTTCTGGGCTGCAGGCCCACGCTGCTGGGTCATCTCAAGCTTCTCATCCACCAGAAGGGAAGCTCTAAGCCAAGGCAGCAGGATGGGTTGAAAATTATTGGTAAGACCTATTGTATCTTGTAACTTTTTATAAAAGATACCTCTGATTTACTGCTTAGGGTCAAAAATGTCAGATTTGTAAGAGGTCATGCAAATATCCTGTAGCAACTATCCAATGTCATCATTAAGGTGTCATCATCATGGCTGGGCTTCGCGAACGGAGATTTGGGACCACCTGGCAGCGCATTAAGGTGTAAGACATCACCATTTTAACAAGTCCCTCAGCATTCAGCCAGCGTAATAATTTAATGAGTAAAAATTAAATTGAATATTATCCTAGTCCATGTATTGGCATTTACCTTGTGTTAATAGACAGACCTTTGGACTTTTCTTTTACAGGAGTTGGCTGCAGCAGAAAGCAGTAAGACCTTGCAGGTTGAGTCTGAAGTGCCAGTTGCTGACTTGAAAAATTCGAAAGGAAAAGAGATTAATAAAGAAACACCTATTTTAAGACAAAATGTATCTTTAGGTGATCAGGAGAAAGAGGAGCAAATATTTCATTCACAGCCTGGTCACTGCCACAGGAAGCTTGTAAGTATTCAAAATAGAAAATATATTCATTAAACTTAGGTGTGATATGACAATTCTATGAGCAGGAAAACTTTCTTTATTTCCATTTTTTTCCTCTCTGTTTTTTTTTCTCCTTCTTGCATTCATTGGAATAACTTGTTTTTTAAAGCAATCTGAAAATTATATTTTGGGACGTGAGGGAGACAGCACTGTTTGGACTTGAAAGGGAAGCTAGAAGTGGCTGTCAGTAGTTCATGTTATTATTTCATATTTAAATAATTTCACATTATAAAAGGAAAAAAAACCAAAAGGAAAACCTAGAGCATGATCCAAACAGGGTGAGATGCTCTGACGTAGAGTTCTTTTATTAGTCAAACAAATACAATCTACAACAAATGTGGCAATTACTGGTGTCTCTCCTGCAGCTGAGGACTCTTCAAACAATGTACTCTCTACTTTCAGCACAAAAGAGGCTAAAGATGCTAAGTCAAAGAGAAAAAAGCATATCAGGTAGAAACATCTTGGTAGGACTTAATCAGTTTATAAAAACTTGAATGGACCATTCCTCTAGTGCATATCCCTATTTTAAATCCCAGTTTCTCATCCCCAGTTATTTCCCTCAGCTAAAGACAGATAGCAGCAATAACCAGGCCAGTGCTGATGAACATCCTTGTCCTTTCTAAAAACACTAAGTCTGAATGCTTCTGAACAGCTGTGAACTTCAACAAGAAGACTGAGGACTTTAGTCAGGCTGGCACACACATTTTTATTTGTTTCTGTCCTACAAGACACCAAACATTAGAGAAAGGAATGAAAGGACAAGTTGCACTGGTAACTGGGACATAATTAAAATAGTCTAAATGAGCCTTTTAGACTCAGAAAAAATACAGAGAGAAAAATGAGCATTTTAGCACTATATTACAAATTCATTTGATATGTCCCTTCTATGACAGTTCTATCAGCTTTGATTATATTTTCATTAAAATATCAGAATGACAAAGAGAAATAATTATTATTAAACCTCTGAGGCCAAGAATATCAGTTTCATTCCCTGAATAACAGCTTTCTAGAATATGTTAATAAAATTCATAGTATCAAAAAAGTTTGAAATAATGGTATGATATATCCTTACTTATATACCCTTCCAACTTTCTCTGGAATTCTTTCTGATTTTCTCTGCCTCAGAGTCTCACATATTCTTTGCAGTCCATGTTTTATGATTCTCTACTTAACCCTGAGAAAGTGTGTGGGTTTTAATGTGTCTGAATATTTGATAATAATTCAGTGTATCCCATAAGATACAAGTGTTGGCCTGTCTGTCCTTGAGCTCAAATCAGGAGCACTGAGCTGAGCATTCTGTGGCTTCTAATGAAAACAAAAGTAGTGCCATTCCTAGTTTTAAGCAGTTCAATATCAGAGGAGATCTTATTAGGCCTGGTAGTGCTGGAAAAATAATAATTTTTATTAACTACATGTCTATTTTTCATATTAATAAATGTTTATTTTTTATTATCAATAATTCTTTGTTAAATAGGCAATAGTTTATTCAACCTGATGGCCAGTGTTCTTTTTGTCTGTTCTTCTCATCAGTCACTGGAAAGACGGAAGGATTCTTTTCCCTTGCCCCATTAATGTTTCTATACTTCTTCTATAATGACATTATTATTGTTATTAAATATTTTCAGAAGGAAACAACTTCATGAAGAAGTTTACTGATTTTGATGAAACGCCCTTTGCCTTCAAAAGCAAAGACCTGATGGTGTTGTATTTTTTGTTTTGCGTTCTTTCACCAAAGTAAAGCTTCCCTTCAATGTGTATTTAAAAAGGCATATTTATCTCATGCTGGACATAATTTTTGTATTGCCAGTTTTTCATATTCCCTTGGTATGTTATCTTCTGTTGTCTTTCTAACCAAAGAGGAAGGTCCTGCTGTCCTATGATGTGTCAGTGGAGTCTATTAATGATCCTTTCCGAAGACAGAGGTTAATGAGTGCAGCCACTATTCTTACAGATAATTCGAGTAAGTCATTCTTTCTTGCTATGGGATTGTGTAACGTGACCTGAGAGATCAAACTGTCTCAAACACTCAGTATTATTTTAAAAGCCATTAGGGGAAATTATGCGGCAAATGTAAATTTCAGGAAAATAAATATTCTCATCTCTCATATAATTGTGACTGTAACTCACAATTCCATCTAGAACGCTTCCATCAACGCTGTCTCCGTACAATCCTAAACATACACTGGTCAGATTATGTGACCAATACATCAGTTCTAGAACAAGCAGCAGTCACAAGTATTGAGGCCATGTTGCTGAGAACACAGCTGCGCTGGGCAGGGCACGTCTCCAGGATGAAAGATCACCGCCTCCCCAAGATCCTGCTTTATGGTGAACTTGCCACCGGCTGCCGCAAGAGAGGAGCCCCGAAGAGAAGATACAAGGACTCCCTGAAACAACATCTCAGCCTTGGCCATATTGATCACCATAACTGGTCTACTCTGGCCTCCAATCAGGAGGTCTGGAGACACACCATCTATAACGCTGCTGATGCTTTTGAGAAAGCACGCAGGATCACTCTCGAGGAGAAAAAACAATGCAGAAAGAATCGTGTCTTGCAGAATATACCACCTAAGGAGTCTTTCTGCTGTGCCTTTTGCAATCGGACGTGCCTGTCTCGTGTTGGCCTTTTTAGCCACCAATGAGCTTGTAACAAACATGGGTAGAGCCCTTCCCAAATCTTCATTCGTGAAGCCTAACCATGAACTCACAGTTACCAAGGGTAAATCATGCCTGACCAACTTGATTGAAAGAAGAGAATTTCAAAGTGTGTGTAAGCAGAAACATTGCCCATTTTCCGAGGAACAGGTTGTGCAGCCTCCGACCTGATGGCTGACCCTGCTTGGGGAAAGGAGTTGCACTACAGATCTCCTGAGCTCTCCTCCAACCTCACTTATAACCCTGTCCTCAGCTATGGACACCTGTGGCTGGGCAGGTTCAACTCACAGGAAACAGGTTGTCATTCTCCCAGAAACAGTGATTTCTCTCCTTAATGCAGATCCTTTATCATCCTTTAATAGTGTAATCATAGAATCATGGAACTGTTTGTGTTGCAAAGGACCTTAAAGATCATCTTGTTCTTCCCCCCTGCCATGGGCAGGGACACTTTCCACTAGACCAGGTTGCTCAGAGTCCCATCCAAGCTGGCCTTGAACACTCCCAGGGATGGGGCATCCACAGCTTCTCTGGGCAACTTGTGCCAGGGCCTCCCCAGCCTCACAGGAAAGAGTAATAAACATATGAAGAGGTGGATAATATCCCCTTTTTCTGATATTTGTTGATGGTGACCTGCAATAGCCTGTGATTATTTTGTGTAGTAGGAGTGAAACAACTTTTTTCAGTGATGCCATTCTGCTCACATGAGATTGATTTTTCTTTCCAATCTTTTCTCTGTCTTTTTCTTCACACTATGATATTCCATATAGGATTACTCATATACCACTTTCCCTCTTTCTCTGCTAGAGTCAAAAGTGAAATGTCCTGCATTGTGGAAACGTTTTGCTCTAAAGTGTCTAGTTTGGAATTGTTGTCCATTCTGGAGAGCAGTCAAAGAGAAGGTGAAATTGGTGATTTTGGATCCGTTTGTTGAACTCTTTATCACAGTTTGCATTATCTTGAACACCTTATTCATGGCTATGGAGCACCCTGGCATGTTACCAGAAACCAGAGCAATGATTACTATAAGTGACCAGGTAAGTGAGGTCTATGTTAGGGTGAATATGGAGTTATAACCCTGTATTTATACTGGAACAGTCCCATAAGAAGACAGACTTCTTCAGTGATCTTTTCTGAATTTTTTTTTGTCTTTCCAGGTCTTCACCCTGATTTTTACACTAGAGATGATCTTGAAAATCATTGCTCTAGATCCTTATTACTATTTTCAGAACAAGTGGAATGTTTTTGATAGCTTGGTTGTTTTGATTGGTCTACTGAGTTTTGGAACCAATCTGTCACCTTTCAGGGCGGTAATGATACCTTTACTATTTTTTAAAGCACGTGTATTGTATAGATTTGTAAAAGATTACAGTGAAATACCCTCTCATTTTTTCACTGATGAATCTGTCAAATCAGTTCTCTTTGCTGGTAAATAGGAAGCCAACAGGAACATTTCATTAAAGCAAATATTAATTAATATTAAAGAATACTTTCAGTATGTTTATTATACTGTGTATATTGGATACTACAAATCCTCTGGCACAGTGTGCTCCCAGGGAGATCTGACCCAGCAGAGAGTACAGTGGTTCTCTATTAGGTCTGTACAGTGGCACTGCTCAACTACATTTCGGACCTACAATCAGGAGCAGATATTATCTGAGTGTTTTCCTGAGCTTAAGGATAGCAAAGATTCCTTGGCAGCTTTTCCTTTTGAGCTGAGATTTGTAAAATAATGCTTTCCTCAGGGCTTAGTCTTGGCCTTGAGAGCTCTTCGGTGCTTTCCTCTATTTTAGGGAGAAAGAGGAATAGTTCTGAGACATCTATGTTTAATAGTACTTTTGTGCTTATGTCTTTCATGAATATTTATAATGCTAAATTGATTAATTACTTCAAAATTCTTCATAGTATTTCAGAGTCCTCACACCTAGAAATGCAGTTGAATTCTGTTTCACCTTTGTATCATGACTGAGAGATTTTCACAGCCCTGAATGCTAATTTGACTAAATACCTCCTTTTTACTCATGGGGGTACAGAGGGTAGGTCCCATCTGGCTTTTCAGTTTGTTTGGTGAGAGGTGTGAAAAAGTGTTTGTCTTTTACATTCCATCTAGTCCAAAACTCAGTCATTTCATAACCTTCATCCATGTATTCATAAGATATTTATATTCATGTGCTTTTTATTGCTATTAATATTATTTGACTGGCACATTCTTGTATCTAACTTAGCACAATCAATTTGAAACCTTTCTTTGATAGTTCTCTGCTCTCACTAATATTAACTGTTGGAGCTTAAGCACAGCACTTTTGCACCAAAACAATTAAAAACCTAACTTTGGGGGAAAAATAATTACTGCAGTAAAAGTAGCATGATAAATGCAGGGTCTGGTTTTTATGTGGGCTGTGCTGTCTGGGCTGTGTTTGACCTTACCTTTTTTCTCTTGTGTTTTATTTTACAGATCAGGATCTTCAAATTGGCAAAGTCCTGGCCAGCCTTAAATACTCTTATGAGAATAATTCTAAACTCATTTGGTGCTCTGAGTAACCTCACTCTGGTTTTGGCTATCACTGTGTTTATTTTTGCTATAGTAGGAATGCAGTTTTTGGGCAGTGATTATGAAAAAAAATTCCATAAAATAAGCACCAGTAAGGATTTACGCTGGCATATGAAGGATTTCAATCATTCAGTCCTGATTGTATTCCGAATATTATGTGGAGAATGGATTGAAATGATGTGGGAATGTATGGAAGTGGCTGGAAAACAGAAATGTATTATCATTTTCTTGCTAGTCCTGGTGATAGGAAACCTGGTGGTGAGTTTTAAGTGATTCCCAGTCCCCGCTAAATGCACCCAGTTACACTGGCAACTGATTTTTTCAGAGGCAAACTTTATCATTTCAAGAGTATTCACACTATTCTCTTTTCTGGATGTCACTTGACATGTTTTTCTTCTACCTTATTTTTTTTTTTTTTTTTTACTTTTCCCCTGTTTTTCTCTTTCTCACACAAGAGGTAGAAGCAATACAAAATTATTCCCTCTACCCACAGTATAGAAGTGCAGTGCTTCTGATAATGTGGTGTCTGATGTCTTCATCTTTTGTGTTGATAGGATCCAATAACCAACTGTTCAGTGCTTTTAATGCTTATCAACTTGTATTATCAAGAGTTTACCATACCCAGATTTTCTGGTTTGTATGACATACAGTAGATGGAATGTAAATGTTCTGGAAGACAAAATCTTTTTCATCTGCTTGGTTTGTTGGTCCATACCAGAACCTTTGGGATGGTGGTGTTATTAAAATTCATCTTTGCTCTTTTTCAACATATCTATCTCCTCATACGTTATGGACATCAGAGCAGGTGAAAATATATTTGATACACCCAAACCCTCACTTCCTTCCTTTTTCTCCTGCCATTCCTTCCAGAAGGGGCCAGATCGTCCTATAACAATATTGCAATATAATAGTAAATAATTTCATGGCATTGGTTGATGAAAGCAAGACTGAGGGTTTCTGAAGTGTCTTTTCTGTTAGCAGTGGTGTCTCCAACTTACTTTAACTATTTCAAGGTGCTCAACTTGTTCATTGCCCTGCTGCTGAGTTCGTTCAATACTGATGCCTCAGCGGGACAAGAGGAACCTGGAGAAAGGACTAAATGTCAGATTGCCCTTGCACAGATTTACAAGGGCCTGAAGTCTGTGAAAGACAGAATTCTGGATCCTTGTGGCAGAAAAGTGAAAGGAAGCCTCAGAAAAACAGACAAAAAGAAGACTTTGGAAGAAATTTCTGGTAAAAACATAGAGGATAATAATTATGCCATGACAGATGTCAGAAAATACATAGACAACAATTGCTTTGACACAGAGTGTTACCATAATGAAGAGAATTCCTCAATAATAAGGAAATATAAAGATCTTTCCAGCAGTCACAGTACCTGTGTTCCCATTGAAGCAGCAGAGAGTTACAGTGACAAAAGTGATGATCAGCACATTGTATTCACAGAAACAGAACACAGAAAACAGGTAAGAACTATTCACATTTAAAACAAAATACTGTGACTTACATCTGTAATTGCCATCTCAAAGACAATAGTAAATATTATCCCTTCTGTCATTTCTGCCATTTTACTTTCTTTGTTCTTCTAGTGCAAGGGCTACCAAATAGTCTTCATTTTCCAAAGAGATTTTGAATGTCCACTTTTCACCATTCTCTTCATGGACAGCCCTAATTCTGCTTTTGTCAGTTTTGTTTCCATCTATTGCTGTCAACAAATAAACGAAGTTTGATGAAGACAGACATTCCTTCTTTTTGTTTCCTTTGTCTTATACTTGGCTAGTTTCTAACACAGGCCTCTTCAGCTGCTTACATGTTGCTTCACAGTTGCATGGCATCCAAAGAAAATGGAAAGAAAAGCTGCACCTCAAAAAAGAATTATTTTTTTTAATTACCTTTTCACCTCTATGATACTTTGGACTCCCCTTTATATCTTGTGATTTTCTTGCATCGGGTAGGATAAAGTTCAAGTCTTTCTGCATGTGAGTTAGACATTTATACTGTCCTGATCATACATAGGCATGTTTGAGATATTTCAGGTGTCTGTCACACCCATGCAGAACTGTCAAATAAGACACAGGAGCTATAGGAACTCTTTTCACAGAGTTACAGAATTGTTTGGGTTGGAAGGGACCTCTGGAGATCATCCGGTCCACACCCCCTGCTAAAGCAGGGTCACCTAAAGCAGGTTACAGAGGAATGTTTACAGGCAGGTTTGGAATGTCTCCAGTGGTCAGTGTCTAGGTGGACTGCTAGGATGCATTTCCTAGGGTTTTGCTCATATTAGGAAGCATTGTCAATGGAATATCTTTGGACAAGTTCTCAAAGAAGCAAAAATTGCTGATCACCTTAGAATCATCTGTGACCATTTCAAATATGTTATCCAGAAGCATTTGATGACAAAAACTGCTGCAGTGGAATCTGGTCTTTCTTGGAATTTGTGGAGGCAAAAGGACTCAGAACTGATTGGGATCAGTTAGGTCTTCTTGGGGAATGATACATTTCCACAATAAAACCTCAGTAGCACAGTATTTGAAATCGAGGAAGAAACCATTCTATTACAAGCATTTTTGAGATATCATTTAATTATCTGTAAAAAGACAAACATGATAGTGGAAGATTCTCTGCCCATGACAGGAGAGTTGGAACTAGTTGATTTTTAAGGTCCCTTCCAACTCAAACCATTCTGTGATTCTGTGATTCTCTTATTTTAAATTTTGTGGATGTTTTAGATTCTGTTAAAGAATTTTGACTTTTAAGAAAGACTGTCAGGAAGGAAAAATGTGGAAAATCGACTAGTTTCCATTATTTCCTGCAGAGAGACAGATTAGGACATAGAGATCAGCGTCAGAGTTCAAGCAGCTTCAGTCAGATTTCTGGGACTCCTGAAACTAAAAATGTTTTCACAGTAACACATGAAAAGCAAGAGCAAAAAGAGGTAATTCTAACTTTTATCATCTTGTGGAATATGCTAGAGATTCAAACTGTCACAGACGTTCTCTCATTCAGCAGTGACAGGACAGGTTGGGATCTTCTGAAGAGTAGCAAGTATAATGCCTGTGGAGGTGGCACATCTCTCTAGAGGCAGTAATAGCATGGAGGTTTGTTTTCCTTATTGTCTTTAGTTTTACAGGTGTGTAGGTTACCTACCAATAATTACAATTCTTTGAGATGTGTACTCCATACATACATTTCTATCCTGCTAGGCCTTCCCATCTTCAGTCCTTTTGAGACATGGTTTGTATCTCTGAAAATGAAAAGAGAATTGGATTGGCCTGAATGTAGGGATTCATATTACAGGAAAAGTGCTGCAAAGCATTCTGGGACTTGTAGTTCCAAGTACTCTTACTGACATGTGCCGTGGAGTGCCTTCTTGCGATTGACTGAGAAATCATTTGTCACGATTTAAACATTGTATTTAAGCTGCTGTTCTTTTGTAATAAAGCTAATTCAAACCACACCTCGTGTAGTTTGGGTTCGTGTCAAAACAAGTACCACAAATGGCGTCCGAACAGAGACATTCAACAGGCATCTACCACACCTGGAGAAGTCAGACTTTTCTCCAAAGCTGTAGCATAAGAAAGTCTTCTTCTTCCTGCATGTCCTGTTTAGATGACAAGAAGAAACCAAGAAACTTATTAAATTAAAAGCATGGAAACAAAGAGAGTAGGGATTGGCTTTTTCTGTCCTATTATTTGTAATTGCATTTTGGTAGTTCAGCAACAATAAGATAATTTATAGACTGCAGAATTCTTTTGGGGAGGGGGGCGGGGGGGTGATAAATATAATTTATTTTTGGCTTGTTAACCTTGTTAATGAAAAGCAAATAAATTCTCCTCTTTCTCCTTCTCCCATGCAGAAATGTGGTGCTGCTCACAGCTTTTCTGAAGCCAGCAGTGTGGATCCGGCTGTTGGTCTGGAGATGTTTTCCCAGACTAAAAACTCACAGCTGCCTAAGGACTGTTTTGCAGAAAGTAGGAATCTTTTCTGTATTGTGCTAACACCAAATGAACCAGTGTTAAAAAACATCCACTTGGAACATGTCCAAATCAGCAGAATCTGTTTTCCTGCTCATCCCAGTGTTGACATCTGCCTTTGATTACCTGAACATCTCCTTAGGCTCCATTGACTCTCATGCTTTATCCTGCTACCTTTACAGATTCATGAAGAGTTTTTCTGGTGCAAAGCAGTGAACAGGGAGTGTAGTTGTAATGTCTCTGCAGTGAAATAAAGTGTAATAATCAGTAAAAATAATAATTGATTACCCTACTAGTAAGATACTCTCTCTTTTCAAAACAAAAAGGAGAATGCAGAAAATAAACATTTTTTTAGATAGAGGTAAAGTCTTTTTTTCTTGTGCCCACCAGCCTTTCTGCAGAAGGGCACAAAAGCAACTCTCTTTTTCCCATGTATGAGTTGCTCTATTAAAAGAGATTAATTTTGCATACAAGTTTTTTCTTTTCTTTAGCTTTAGATCATTTCAACCACAGCATCACCTCATAGGTAAAACAGCACATTCTTTCTCTAGTCTGTAGAAGTTCTCTTTAAGATGTCCTATACTTTTTTGATTTCATGTCTCAGCATTTTCCATGGAACCAATATACTGTTCTTTCTCTTTTCAGATTGTGGTAAATGTTTCCCATGTTGTGTAGTGGATATCACCAAGTTTCCAGGCAGAAATTGGTGGAACTTGAGGAAAACCTGCTACAGAATTGTTAACCATAGCGGGTTTGAGTATTTTATGGTTTTTGTGATAGTATTGAGCAGTGCAGCACTGGTAAATTGCATTTAATTTCTCTAATTTTGAATAGATTGTTGCCAGTAAAGGAAAATAATAGTATTTAATTGTTTTTTCTACTCTGACCTTCCTTCCCACAGGGAGAGAGAAAAGTGTAGTAAATGTATCCCTTAAAAGCGATAAGGCTTTCCCCCACTTAGATAAGATATTTAAATATATGGATTTAACTAAATGGAATTGTAGTTTTTCATGGAACATAGTTCTTCATACACTTGTGTGTTAATTACAAGGCTAAACCAGAGTCTGATATTAGTTTGCACTTTTAAATAAAATAATAACACTTCTACAGGTTTAAAGCATTTTCAAAACATTATGATTAGAATCTAAACGTGAAGTTGGCTGTAAACTCATAGGTGAGGTAACTTCATTGCTACCCTGATCAGACCCATTTCTACTCAAGAATAAGAGAACTTTTATGATTTGAAAGCATATTCACTGTCTACTAAAAGTAATTTGTTAAACGAAATATTTTATAATGCAGAAGGAACATAAACAAATAGTCTGAAAGGGATCTATGTGGTAAATATCAGAATTTTCCAAATCAAATCTGCTCTGTGTACGTTAAGTTCAGGTTGGTCACTGAACCGTAGATTTAAACTGTCTGCTTTTAAATTCCCATGGCAAAGTGTCCAAGGGAAATCCCTGGGATTCCTGTGAGGGCTCCTCTCTATTCATGTGGAACCAAGCTGAAGTAAGGAAGGAAACTGAGTTATTCTTTAATGTCCTCTAGGTTCTGACTAAGTTGAACACAAAGCTAATTGATACCCAGGTGCAAAAATTACACAAAACAACATTTTCTTGTCATCAAAGATGTTTAGCAGTGAGAACTTTCACCTTTCTAAGATATTGTTGTCCTTTTGCAAAAAGAGACTTGTCCATTTTTTGTTCATTTGTTTTCTTTGTTTATAAAGTTGTATGCTGATAGGGAATTTTCTGGACCAGTTAGAACAAAGGGACACCATGGTGTCCTTGCCTTGAAAGGAAATTAAATGAGATGGTGATCACAAACAGAATGCACAGAAAAGTCCTTGGTAAATGCTCAGTGCTCAGAGCAAAGGAAGAGTAGTTAGGAACTTAAGTAGATTCTAACTTTTTAAGGTAGCAGCAATTAAGAGTAACTAGAAACTTTAAAAAGTTAGAAAAAAAGTAGTTAAAATTATGAAAAAGCATTACTGCTAATGAGCAGGTGGTTTGACTGGTAGATGCAGATCAAGGTAGCCAAGGTTTAGCACGGAATGAGAGAACACATTATCAAACTTGCTCAAGAAAAAAGGTCAGAAATGTCAAATCGGTTTCTGTACATGAATGCCAGAAGTTGTCATTTACCCACACTCAAATGAACAGTCCCATGGACACAGGGACAGCTCTGCTCTGGAGGCATTTCTCCTAATTGTGGCACAACTGAAAGACCCCTTAGGTCCAGAAGCAGTAGCACTGTTTTCTAACACTGCAGAACAGGAGTGTATTGGTAGAGGGGCATAAACATAAAGCTCACAGACCATTATGGTCAGCAATATGTCCAATTTATTATTTAAATAAGTCAACTTTTATACAGTTTAGTTTGTTTTGGGCACATGCTTACAACAAGGTGATTGGATAGCTCAGTCTGTGCATGCATCTCATGTCTCCAGTTCATTGGACCTGATGTTCTGTCCATGCGGCCTGAAATCATACTTGGCATGTAGAGGCCTTCATAATTAGGGGCTTTCCGAAATCTGCAGGTGTACCTTTAGCTGTACTTTCTCAAGGCTTTCTTGCTATAAACATACTATGTTCTCAAACCTTATAATTAGACACACAGATAACAAGTATAAACATTACATATTTTCACACAGTCTATAAGTATAAACATTACAGCTTACAACTTCTAAAGTCATGTCAAGCAAGGCCTACAGAAAGCAGGAAAAATTGTTCAGAGAAATCTCTTTGCTCCAGCCACAGGAGTGCATATGTTTCATTGGATTATACATAGGAGCATCTGTGCTCCATGTTTTTTCAGTGGTCTATGCTCCTGCTCCACCTTTTCCATGGCCTTTTAGATGGGTTTTTTTAGGCATATCTTAAGTGCAAGTGAGCTAATCAGGTCTGCTGTTAATACCTCAATGAAGTGGGTAGGGGAGAAGTGGAGGCTTGGTGAGGAAATAATTCAAGACGTAAAAGGAATTGGGAGTAGATTGGCAATATCAAAAATTTAAAATTAATTAGCGAGGCAGCAAATGCATTGAACACAAGCAAACACTGATGTGAACAGCAGCAATCAATAAAATATTTTCCTAAAACCTCAAGGTCAAGGTTTAGGTGAAAAAACCTGCAACTCCAGGAATGAACAGTTCCAGATAAGGAGTTTGTCATTCTTTTCCATGTGTGTATTACAACTCTGCAGGCTGACTAAAGATGATTCATTAGGAAGGTTAGAGTCTGAAAGACAGGGTTTAATGTGTTTAAGTCAGGCTTTATTGTGAAGAATTTAGACCAACACCTTCAAAATTATCAACTACCTTGGGAAGCCAGAATGTGGTAGCCACAATTGCCCATCCTCAGACAAGTTTTGTAATGTTGAGCATAAAAACCTGAAAGTATGTGATTTTTCAACAACCTGAAAATGAGATTGTACTTATTTTACAATTTAGTTTGTTACTTCTAAGTATAAAACTAAGTGGGGGTTGCCCATAGTTTAATATGAAATGGTTGTAATAAGACAAACTGTGTATTCTTGTGCAATTTAAGAATAATTTTCCATACAACTACTGACCTTTTTTAAAACTGAATTCTGAAATTCCAGGCATTTGAAGATATTCACCTGCAGAATAGAAAAACAGTGAAAATGATCCTAGATTATGCTGATAAAATATTTACCTACATCTTTTTGATGGAGATGCTTCTGAAATGGGTAGCTTATGGATTGCAGAGTTACTTCACAAATTCCTGGTGTTTGCTTGACTTTGTCATTGTATGTGTAAGTATTACATTCCGCTTGTCATACATTTTGATTTTTGACATTTTCTATCTGGATAACTACATGTAACTTCTGATTATGAATAACTACAAGTGTGAAAGACAGTTCCCAAAAGGTGAAAAATCTGCATTCCAAACAGACTTTAGGACAAATTCAAATTGAAATTTTCAGCAATAACTAGAAGTTGCTTAAGAAAATTCTATTAGGTATCACGGTCATTGAGGACCATGATGGCTCTAAAAACCTTTTCAAGTGGGGAGAAGGATTTCAATTAGTGATCAGAAACAAAACTAAAATAAATTACTTAAAACTATAGAAAAATGAGAAGTTACTGGCAGTTCTGGACTAGATGATCTTAAAGGTCCCTTCCAACCCAAACCATTCTATGATTCTGTGATTTTGGCATTTAGAAACAGAAAAAAGGTAGAGTTGCTTCTTGAAGGCGAAGAACTTAGATAGTAAAGGGAGTTGAAAAGTATTGTTGGAAAAATCATTTACCAGAATGATAAAGACATAGGAAAGTACTTTTTGCTTTGCAAATGAGAAATCCCAGAAATCCTTTGCATATCTATAAAGAGACATGTTGAAAACACCAGTAGTGAGATAAGTGCAGTATTCAATTCCTACATATTTCTTATGAATTCAGACAATATTAATTATTATAATCTTGCCATATAAAAATGAAACATCTATGCTTGTCAACATCACACTGGGAAGATTCTGAAGTTAAATATTTAGAAAAAAGAACATGTAAACAGATGACTGATGTTAACATTAGAGTAATTGTTTGATGGCTTCAGAATAGTCAGCATTGAAAGTTGTAAAGTAGTAGGAAATTTCTACACAAAGGTCTAATGTTATGGCTAGTTATAAAGAATATGTAGCATGATTTTAGCCATTACGGTTTTCTAATCTTAATATCAGTGCTGTCCAAAACAGGGGAAAGCCATGTGTCATGGGTTAAGCACCACCTCTCCCCCCAACAGGGGACTATAAGTGGTTGGTCCTAGGAGAGTTTCCCCTGAGAGACCAATTGCAGCTGTTTTTTCGCTCCTGTGAAATTAGATATCACAACAGCCGGAAGTTGTTGGCAGAGTGTGAGAGTGCCCGAGAGAGAGAGAGAGAGAGAGAGAGAGAGAAGCCCAGGGGTGGCCAGGGTTGGAGGCAGCGTGTAGGAGTGAGTGTGTGTTGTGAGGGAGAGACTCGCAACCATGAGGTGAGAGGAGGGAGGCCTCCAGCCCCCTATGCGGGGGGCCAGCCCTCTTCTTCCCCCCCCGGTTAGGCTGAGGGGAGCTTGGAACAGTTTATAACTGGACCGAGTACCCGTGGCCAAGGCTAGGGGGCTCTTTTTCTTCCCCCACTGCCCAGGGAGGCGGTGGCGTGGACTTAAGCCTCAGTACCGGAGCTGAGCTAGGAGACAGGCCAAGAAGGTGGTCTGAAGCCCAGAGAAAGCAGCTGCGATCTGTGCAGAAACTGGAAGAACTCCAGGCTGAAGGAATTGGAGATGGGCCAAGGAGGCTCGGGGGAGGCTCTAGGCGAGGTTTGGGCGAGGGCAACCAAAAACTGAAAGCTGCAGCAGTTAAGGAAGAGAGGAAGCCAAACCATCAGGCTTTTTCTGGGTAAGGACTTTTCATGAAAACTGTTTGGGGTAAAAGACTGAGTGAGACCCAGAAGCCTGCAACCTGGAGAGTGAGAATGGAACATCTTACTCTCTGGGGAGGAAACCTTCACGAACCAGGGAGAAAGGACTCAAAAGCTGACTCCTTGGACCTTTTCTTGATGAACACCTGGTGAAGTGAGTGTTTCCCTTGCAGCCCAGGAAGAGACCTCAGCAGAAGCTGAGGGCTGGTGGGGGTGCAAGAGAAGACCCCTTCCCTGATACCCCAACAAGAGAGAGACTTTTAACTATCACCCTGCAAGCTTCTCCTGAACTGATGTGGGAGGGTCCAAGGGGTGGTAGAGATTGTGTTAATATTGTGTATATAATTGCTTTTTAGTTTCTGTAGTATTTATTGTGTATAGTAATAAATTGTATATAATTCCCTTCCCCCATACTGAGGTGTGCCTGTCTGAAAATTTCTCTTCAGTGTTGAGGTAAAATGTGGGGGGAGCTTGGAAATTGGATTTTTGGGGTCAACCCCCCACACCGTGAAAATATATGAACAGTTAAAAGTAAGAACAAAACGAAAAACAACTGCCTCCCCATCTCAAATTAGAATGAAGAAATCCTTTTATATACATATATATATTAGAAAGGAATGAAGTAAAATTACAATAACTTTGAATTTAATGTGTATTTTCTTAATTTGACTTACTGATCAAAGATATTGCACCATTCAGGTAATGATTGTTTGCTAACACAAACAAGGGAAAATTTGTTTACCATTTAATAATTGCAGTTCTAATTCTATGAACACAGTTGTCATTTGTTTCCTGGGGACTAAATCCTGGTACGGAAGACAAGGCACGTTGTTCCTCTGGGAGTGGCCTGAAATCTCTCAGGACTCTTAAAGCATTGAGGCCTCTACGAGCTTTGTCAAGATTTGAAGGGATAAAGGTAAAGATATTGGGGGTCGGTGTGAATATTTTGTAATGGCTGCATTTGAAGATTTTTTTTTGAAAATGACAACATAAAATTCACTATTATTTTCATTCATTTTGTTCAGGTTGTTGTCAATGCACTCCTTGGAGCTATCCCCTCAATCTTCAATGTTTTGCTCGTCTGTGTTGTCTTTTGGCTCTTATTTAACATTCTAGGAGTAAAATGGCTTGGGAAAAGATTTTCAAAGTGCATACTCCAGGAAGGAAATATCAGTCTCATTAATAACAAAAGTGATTGTGAGTCTTATGGTGGAAATTGGACAAATTATCCTGTAAACTTTGATAATGTTGGGATGGGATACTTGGCTCTTCTCCAAGTGGTGAGTTCTATAAAAACATTCTCAGTTTTGTTTTCTTTAAGGAAGTGGGTCGAGCAGCCCAACCATGGGACACCACTATGCTTCTGTTTATCCCACTGAAATTGGGGATATTTTTTAACTTCCATATATATTTTCCTTGTTGGTGCCCTGCTCAGTTCCTCCTAAAGAACACTTGGGCATATGCAACCTTGAGTTAAAATTAAGAACTCTGTTTCATGGCTTTTCAATGTTGTTTTAATCTTATTAACACACTAAGCCTGAAATAGTCTTCAGGTTACTCAATTAAAAATATTCTAATTTTCTCTAGTTCAGAGTGGATGAGAAAGAAAATCAGGGCACAGTTTATTTATATTTTCTTTTCCTGTAGAAGTCATGAAGGACTGGGATACTAATTTATTGAGCTCCTTCACATGACAACAAAGGAGAGAAAGGCAATTTTTAAATTGGCTGTTATGCCTGTATCTTTTTTAGATGAAATTCTTTGCCCTGGATCCTTCAAAGTATTCTACGATTCTGCAGAGTTGCTAAAAATTCCAGCAAGGAATTGTTTGCTGTTTTCTCAGAAATTGTTTTTATCTTTTCACATTTTATTTGCAAGTTGAGCCGAAAATTTTACTGCGATTTTTCACAAAAAAAAATTTATTTTAAGAAGAATTAACATTAAGACACTTTTCACATGAATCATGATTTTTTTTTGGGTTAGGAAATATTTTTGTTTGTTTGTTTGTTTGCTTTTGTTTAGTTTTCAAGAAGTATTTTTTCTTTTGACTAAACTCTGGTGAATCATACTTCCCAGCAGATCTTTAGAAGTGATACACATTTTTTATAGCACACTGCTCCTTTTCCACAACTATTAACACATTTATATTAGCTACATATATTAAATATATATATATATAAACTATAACAAGCTTAAAAATGCATTTTTCCAGGCAACTTTTAAAGGCTGGATGGATATTATGTATGCAGCAGTGGATTCACGTCAGGTATGTCACTAAAATGACAATTTAGTTCTTTTCCCTTTTCTTCTTCCCTTTTCCATCCATGTAATTAATTTTTCACCTTGTTTGCAATATCAAGTCAAAAATACAAGCGGTTGAAGGCATCAAACAACACAGTGAAACAATAATCCTTGGAGTACCAAATATCTAAAACTTAGACAAAAGAAACTGGTCCAAGTAGAGTGACACCACACAGAAGCCTGCTATGTCAGGAATGCAGAGGGGAAGATGTTGCAAGCTTTGTGCAAGTCTCTTTTGGAAACAGAATACAGAAGCTCTTGGAGGGACTGTGCAAATTTTCCTCCTTTTTAAACGTGTACAGGAGCATGGAAACAGCATGCAGCTAGAGCAGTTATTTCAGGAGATTTTCTACCCTATGTTTGACACCCTCACTATTTCTTCCTCCTTTGCATGTGTTGTTCCTCACTCTCTTACCAGGACAGTGTGTTTTAACTTTTCTATGTTTAATTGAATTTACCTTTTTCTCACTCCTTCAGTCTCTGTGCTCTTGACTGCAGTGAAATAGCTGCTGATTAACATGATTGTTCCTTGTAGGGCTGATCTTAGTGAGCTGGGGCTTTAGAATTGCCTCTTGTCTGGGACAGCATTCCAGAGGATGGCTGGTCAGCATTATGTTTAGTCTGAGCTGTTGTTTTTAATCAAGGCGTTCACAGGATCCCTTCTGATTGGAACTGGTTCTTTATTACTTAAAAATTTGCTGAAGCTGGATTTGTCTCTATAGCTCTGTTTGTCACGATCTTTACAATCAGTAGCAAGACGGAAAAAGACAGTGGTTCTACCTGTATATCCAGGTAAAGATGTAAATGTGTGGAGATAATTTATCCCTCATTACAATAAAAAGATCTCTTATTATAAATTGGAAATGGTAATTATCTGTGATAATGGTAATTATTATCTGTGATTATCTCCTTTTTACCAAAATTATTTTTCTGGTTTGACTTTTTTTTAACAGATCGATGAACAGCCAAAGTTTGAAGCAAGCTTACACATGTACATATACTTTGTGGTTTTCATTATTTTTGGATCTTTCTTCATGTTGAACCTTTTTGTTGGAGTGGTTATCAGCAATTTTAACCAACAGAGGAAAAAGATAAGTACTACTTGAGCTAACTCGGTGTCTCCTGTAATCCCAATTTGCTTAAGTGAATGCTGGTTTGACATGTAGATGTCTAACATTTTGAAATAACTGTTTAACTGGATAAATTAAAAATAATAACACTTTAAGCCATATTTTGAAAACAGGAGTCTCCTTTTCCTCAAAGCTTTTGGCAATTTACCTGTAAATTCTATTTTCCTCCCAAGTCCTTAATTTGTTCTAAGTAGAGGAGGAGGAGGAGGAGGAAGGAGGGAGTAGCTTTAGAGATGAGAAGCCTGATTCATTTAGATGTTAAATTATCCAGAATAGAATGGAAAATGGAGTAAATTATTCCACTTGGAAGACTTGAAACAAATAAACCTCTTGCTCATTCAAAAAAAGCACACCCCAACAGGAGGTTTGGAAGACAGAATCTCTACAGGAACCCTTTTTTATTTCCATAGCCTGATTCATACACCAAGTATCAGAGCATTGCTGCTCTGGGTAGAGAGAGAACAATAAAGCCCACAAGAAATTCTTCTGCTTTCTGCATTTGAACAGGGAAAGGATATTTGGGGGTTGAGGAACAACAGTCCAACTTCACTCTAAGAATTTCTTTTTCTAACAAAGTCCCAGTTACAGTAATCCAAACACATAGAAACAACAGTGGTTAAGTAGTTCATAAGCCTGAATATTTACTGGAAGTTTATGTGGATCTAACACTTTTTTCTTAGTACATGCTCTGATTGGCATTTTTTTCTTTTTCAGTTATTCTCTTTCATTTCTTTGCTGCTTCTCAGGAATTTTCCTTGTGATTCCATATAGTGAAGTCAAATGGAATTTTCAGAGGTCTTGCCAGAGTGATTGAAATTGCAGATGCCCTACTGAACGTTGTTGTGTGTTTGTTGTGCAAAATGCTGATCACTCATTACTTTTATGATTGATGCGTGGCTTCTGAATCCTGGGTTCAAAGGGATTGCTAAGTAATACAGGGGGTGTAGATGGGAATAAGACTGTCAGGAACCCCCTGTAGAACTGGGTCCCATCATCCTCCATTTACCGGCTAGTCCAGCAATACTCTTCTGTTTCTACTTTTCCCAAAAATAGAAAGTATTTCACATTTTGATGAATCGTATGTAATTTTTAAAGTATGAAATAGATTTGCAAAGCTTCAGAAAGGCTCTCACACTTGAGGGAACTGACTTGGGAACACTGCCTAGACTAGACTTCCATGATCAAACCCAGATCAGCTCTTTCCAGTACATCTTTTCAAAGATCAAGGGGAAAAGGAGAAATGGTGAAGACACAGTTTGTCTTTATGCCCTCTTAGGTCCCACTCAGGACAGCTGTAACTTACTCTTTTTTACAGAAAGTTGCTGGAATTTATTTAGGGAACTGCTTAAACTTCAGCTGAACAACAATATTCTTTCCCTTTACTTAGGTGGAAAGGATCTGTTTTTGACTGAGGAACAGAAAAAGTACTATAATGCCCTAAAAAAACTTGGATCCAAGAAACCTCAAAAACCCATCCCAAGACCATCGGTAAGACCATCTTAGATAGAACGTGGCAGAAGATACAACAATGGTGACCATATTTGAACTCAGTAGCCCAGGCATAGGGAAATAAACTTTGCATTAGAGCCCATCATCTTCTTTATTCAATGTAGTATTCACATTTTACTCTCTTTTTCTTAAAACAGTCTTTCTTTGTGGGTATTTATTAGGGAAATTTATATCCTATATATGACCTATCCAAATGTACAACCTGTTTATAAAGGTTCATAATTAGTATTTGATAACCATACCATGACCTTGGTTACTTAAGTTGCATGATGTTGCTTCTGCCACTACATTGGATTATTGCAGGTGAGAATGAATAGAGAATAGTACATGCCCTATGGCAGTTATTTGCTTTTAAATAAATAATAATAATAATATTATTATTATTATTATTATTGTATATGTATAAGCGCCAATGTGCTCGCTTGATACCTGAATATACTTACCCAAGTACTGTGAATTTTCATTGAAGATCTAAAGAAATCACCTAAAAATGCTTCTAGTAGCTTAGTGTTAAAATTATATTACCCTAAGTTCTTTTTCTAAGCATAAATTTATGATTGATATTTGAATGCGTTTCTTTTTCTCTCCACAGAATGCATTCCTGGGATTGCTGTTTGATATCGTAATGCACAAAGCATTTGACATCATCACTGTGATTTTCATCTGCCTAAATATGATTGTTATGATGGCAGAAAATAACCAGGAAGGCACCAAGGAGGTTCTTAATAAAATCAACTATTTTTTTGTGGCTGTATTTACAGCGGAATGTGTCATAAAAATGCTGGCCTTAAGGCAGCACTACTTCAAAAGTGGCTGGAACTTATTTGATCTTATTGTTGTGGTCCTTTCAATAGTTAGTAAGTACCAATCACGAAATCAGGTAATGTGTCTTACCAATATTGAACCAAATTTCAGTATGAAGTAACCACTTAGATACATTTGATAAACAAGTACCAGATCCACTGTACTTTTTCAAACTATAGGCTAATGAATTCCTTCAAAATTCCTTCTGTATTTTCATTTATATTTTTGCATAGTGCTAAAAGGTAAATGGAGTTTTCAATTTTTATTTTTCTTAAAATATGTGTTTTTTGAGTAATTAATAGTATAGGAACCTAATTCATTTACATATTCACTAAGTTATTGCTCTTAAATTGTTGTCTAACTGTTTTTATGCTTTTGATTTACATGTTGTTATGGTAACTGTTGTTTTCACAGTAAAAGTAAATTCATGCAAAAAATGCATTTGCATGAAAAATGAGAAAGATGTATTTATTTCACCAGGACCTCTTTTAAAGAAGGCAGATCCTGATTGCTGATTTAGAAAGCTCAGGAAAATGTAATTGCTCAGCACTATTCTAAATCTGGGCCACTATTTGTGACTGTGAAAAGTCTCATTAAAACTGGCTTGGGTTTTTTTGGCTTTTCAAATAAGACTAGATGCTGATCATTTCCTCTACAAAGGGTCATCCATAGCTCTAGTTTATTGTACGGTTTATTTGGTCTGTGCTTCCCACTCAGGCTCAGGTTATATCACAGAATAAAGGACAGGAAAGAAAAACTGCTCTGAGTTCTCTGTTTCGTGCCTAAGCACAGTAACCCTTTGCTGTCCCGTGCAACCCAGGGAAATGATGACTCCTTAACTCCTCTGTTTGTACCCTACTCATTTAGTAGGGTCAAAGAACGGGGTGTAATGGGGGATAAATACCAAAAGACAGTTTTTCTTTAGAATCCTCTTGGTCTTCTCTGATCTCCTTCAAGTACCAAGCATTAGTCAAAGCCTCACATTTGGCATGTTATCAGGCCTGTAAAGAAGCAGCAGATGACAGCCAGGAGGCAATCCCCATAGCTTTCAGCACAGGAGCTGAATGGAGCTAAAAGCATTTTTAAGTACTTGAGCAATGAAAGTGTAACTTCACCAGCCCTGAATTAGAGAAATCTGGGAGGATGCAGTTTCCAAACTATGCATAATCTTGATATCTCTCTACTATGGAAAGGTATTATGATTTGTCTTTCTTTTCCTAAGCTGTCTTGTAAGCAAGTGCAGTATTTGTGTGGAAAGTGGTGTAATATGATCAGTGTTACTTCTGACACCTAAAGCACAGAATATAACAAAGCAGACAAAAATTTGACTAATATGCCTTGACAACATTTTGTTTTCTTTCTCCCTTCAAAGGTATTGGAGTTTCTGAAGCCTTCAAAAAATTCTTCTCTCCTACACTTTTGAGAACTATTCGTTTGGTGCGAATTGGCCGAATACTGAGATTGATCAGAAGAGCGAGAGGAATTCGAACCCTTCTCTTTGCATTACTGATGTCTCTTCCTGCACTAGTCAACGTTGGCCTTTTGCTTTTCCTGATTACATTTATTTATGCCATTGTGGGCATGGCAAACTTTGCCTGTCTTCCCTGGGAAGGTGGGATTGATAACATTTTCAACTTTCAAACCTTTTCTGGAAGCATTCTCTGTCTCTTCCAAATTACAACATCAGCTGGCTGGGATACTCTTCTGGCCCCTTTGTTAAGTGAATCTGGTATATGTTCTCCCAACTTAGTTTTAAAAGAGAAAGATAAAATTAATTGCAAAAATAGAGCATTTGGTATTTTTTATTTTGTAAGCTATGTCATTATATCATTTCTCATTGTTGTAAATATGTACATAGCTGTCATTTTAGAGAACTTCAATGTTGCCACTGAAGAAAGCACAGATCCTCTTTGTGAGGATGACTTTGATATGTTTTATGAGACCTGGGGAAAATTTGATCCTCTGGCAACACAGTTTATTGACTATTCTGCTCTTTCCGACTTTGCAGATGCTCTGGCAGAACCCTTGCGCATTCCAAAGCCCAACAACATCCAGCTCATATCCATGGATCTCCCTCTAGTGAGTGGAGATAAGATCCACCACTTAGATATCTTGCGTGCTTTCACTAAAAGGGTCTTGGGAGAATTTGGAGATTTAGATAGTCTTGAATTATTCATGGAGGAAAAAATTGTGGTTGCCAATCCATCTGAAATTTTTCACAAGCCAATTTCTTCCACTCTTAAAAGAAAACAAGAGGAGGTGTCAGCAGTTATTATCCAAAGGGCCTTCAGGAGGTATTTGATACAGCGTTCTTTCAAAAATACATCTTTCTTATGCCGTCACAGACAGAACAGTGCTGCCTTTGGAGAAGAAACACGGGAGAAGCAAAGGCTTATTGTATCAATGCTTAATGAAAGTAGTGGCAGGAAGACACATAAATCACGGCCTGTTTCTTCCACATCTCTCCCTTGACTTTATGATGCTATTGCTGACACAAATGAGCTGGACACATAAGGTTACCCCAGGCTGCAGCATTTTTGACATTCAAAGCAAAGTCACTGATTTTCAGATGGAGACAATATGTAAATCCTAGAGCATAATACTCTAAATTTAGAATAATGATGGCAGCCTTCAAGTATTCTGATTGTTCAAATTTGCAAATTCTCCTTAAAATGATTAAGGTCTGAACAACTATGTCATAAATATTGGAGGAAAATCAAACCCTAGAACTTTTTTCTCATTTACTGGAGTAGGTGGGTTAATTTTTTCACCTGCCAGATTTGTCCTAGTTCATGTGTTTACGGAAGAAATCCATAAAAGGTCGGTTGTAAGCACAGATTTATAAACACACAAGGCCCTAGAAGAATGTATATCTCATTAGAGATAACCAATATTTCCAACCAGGCATTATTGTAGCAAAATGAAAGAATTACTGCACTTCTGTAATAGAACTCATTCAGGACACTCGAGTATAATCAGCCTCTAATTTTGATGGGTTTGGGACCATCCTCCTCTGCCACGGTCCGAAGGGGGGATGGGGCCGTGACACAGCACGGATGGGTCCGGAGACAAGGTAGGAGTGCAGATGGAATGCTTTATTGAGGCATGCATGGGATTTTTTATCAGTTCAGGCAGGGAAAGGGCTAGAACATGGGTGGAACATGAGACAGACAAACGGGGGAAAAATCGGGATAGGGACACAGGCAAAAGAGGAAGGAACGTGGGAGGAGCCGGGGAAGGAAAGGGCGAATGGTGGCTGTCTCCTCTCTGCAGCTTCTGCAGCCTATCAGAGAGGGGAGCAGGGAAGCAGGGAGCAGGCAAACTTGTGGCAAGCCCGAGCATGCCCAGGCTGGGCATTGTGTAGTGTGGATGCAATGAAACCACATAATAACGATAAAGTCCATATAATAACTGTAAGGTCCATATAATAAAGTCCTGTCAATTGCTGCATGTTTTTCTCTACACCTGGAACCTCTCCCATCCTGAATCTTGTTCCTTCACACTCCTCCTACCATGTTTGGGTGGATTTGCTTATGCTTAAGAATTTTGGAGTTGTCTGTATATGTGCACCTCAATGGATTTAACAGATCATCCTCAGTTGCCTGTGCATAAAGTTTGTATATAATTTGTTCTTTGTATCATTCAGTGTATGAAAATTGTCATAATCATAGCTACCAAAATCAAAGGATGTTATACAAGGGGTATTGCTTCCAGAAAATCTTGAGAATCATTGTACATAAAATTTCATCATCATCTAAATGTCATAGAAAACATTACTTAGTAATCTTAGTGATATGAGGCAACATTTAATAAAAGGTAGAGGAAGCATTTATTTGATTGATTCTGAAAAAGAAAATATGAACAATGAGTATTAATGTTTTACTGATTTTTTTTCAGTTTAGGTTGTTCGGATGAAGGAGCGTTGTGGTGGATTCAGAACCACTAATACAATACAACTGGTTTAGATTCTTCAATAAAGAGCTCAGATGCTTAACATGTTTCTGTCTGTTTTGTAAGGAGTATCCAATTTCATTTGTTACAAGAAATAATCTGTTCTTAAAAGGAAGAACCACAGTAGTACCACTTTTCCACAAGTAGCTACCTATTAGAACAACAAAACTGAAAATGTTTCACTTTTTACAAAGAATCAGAAAAGATTTAACATTTTGAGGCCAAGAATAGCAGGAACAATAAGGTAATTACTTAATTTTTACTGTCGTTTCCCATGTTAAATACTATTAAATATGACAGATATTGTTAAGCATAAGTTAATTTCAGGACAAATAAAGACACAGGAAAGCTAAGAGTTTAAGAGTTCCGATACAGTATGGTTTGAACGGGCTTTATTATGGTTGAGCATCGGCTCCCCAGGGAACCACCATCCCCAGAAATGTTCCAAAAACAAGTGGATGTGGCAGTTAGTACTGTGGCTTAGTGGGCATGGTGGTGTTTGATTAAAGGTTGGACTTGATGATCTCGGAGGTCTTTTCCAACCTTAATGATTCTATGATTACTTCCAGAACCAGCTGCAGTCCAGAAAAAAAAGGCTGATGAAGAAGGTTTGTAGACCTCTTAGGATAACTCAGGAATTTGCCCTTGGGAGCTGCCACACTGGGCAGAGGGATGCAGAGATATTTGGTGGCTCTGCTTAAGACCTGCTCCTGTCCAGCTTGTGTTGTTTCATGCAGAGTGATGCTTGTGAGGTGAAACTATTTATTTTGTTCTTTGAGAGCTGGACTGAGCCGACAGCTTTTGTTCAGTGATCAGGTACCATTAGATGGCAGCATTTACTGCAGTTTAAAATGTGGCCAGTCTTCGGTGAAAGGTGACAAACTTGCACACTTCAGCAAAAAGGTATTACATTGAATGTAAAAAAGTTAGAAAAAAACATCAAAACTCTGTTTTTTCCTGTCCTGTGCTTTCAAGTTAGCCACAGTTCTCAGTAGGTGCTTGTTCACTGACGATTAATAATTAAATTCCACATCTGTTGCAGATTAATGCAACTGGAGAATTGCCCGGTGTTGAGTTCTTCACAACAGGAGACATATTGGAGCTTGTCCATTGGAGGGCCATCAAGATACTGGATCATGTGTCAGATAAGGAAAAGCTGAAAGATTAGTTTGTTCAGAATTAAGAAGAAAAAGTGAAAGTGTGGATCTTACTTTTGATTTCAAATACCCAGTGAGTGGGTTTGGGGAAGTGAGAGCCAAACTCAGATGTACACAGTGCTATAGATAGAAGTCAGCAGACACAAGTTTCAACAACGGAAATTCTGATCAGACATTAGGGAAAAAACCCCACAGTGAGGGTGGATAAACGTTGAAAGAAATCATAGAATCATAGGACCCCAAAGGGTCTTGGTTGGAAGGGACCTTAAAAGATCACGTAGTACAATCCACCTGCATTGAGCAGGGACACCTTCAAGCCACAAAACACTAAGAGATGTTGGGACATCTCTGTCCTTGAAGAAATACAGAACTTGACTGGACAAGACACCAACCAGCCTGATCCAGCTCCAATTTGAAGGTGCATCTGCCTTGAGGTGACTTAATTGAGCTTTTGAGATCCCTTCTGACCCAAATTACTCTGTGATTCCATGACAGCAGCCACAGCTTTCCACACTTAAAGATTATGGCTAAACAGTCACATTATTCAACAACCTGGGTATTATCTGGGAGTCTGAGTCTATCAATCAACACTATTTTGGGCATGCAGTTCTAGTCTCTGTGTACAAGAGAGTGACAAATTAGTGCAAGTTAACAAGAGATTTCTTACCTGTCCATCCCTGGGAGCCAAATGATGAGTCTTCTGTGACTTCTACAACATCCTGTCAGATTTCTTTCTGCAAGTTTTTTCGGCACCTTCATCCATTAGAAATATTTGGATAAAGATACTGACTGGTGTCAGAGCCGGATGTGGTGCCACAAGTTTAGACCCTTTGCTCTGCCAATTCCAGGGGAAATATGTCAAGGCATCAACTTAGTAAGTGGTTTTATTGATCTTCAGAGACTTTTGAAAGAGCAATAGAGATGTTTTGGCAACTCCTCAGGAAAACAAGATGTTGGGGCAAATCTGCTGCAGTTATCTGCCTCAGGGTTCCATGGAGTTAAGGTAAGATAGGCCAAGCTGACTTTGATAATTACCTTAATGCAGAGCTGCTGGAGTTCTGGGCAGACTGAGGGCAAGGCAAGTTTGTCTCCAGGTTCCAGGGAAGTTGGGTTTCTGCAGGAGCATTCAAAAGTTAGAGATTCATAGGTTAGACTTCAGACAACAGCCACCATACCTTGCTGCCCAAATGTTGGGTAGAATTTGTCCCCAGAGATTATTTAAATTAGTCACTGGAAAGGTCAGCTCTTTTGTAAATTTTCTTTTACATACTCATACCTTTCTTGAAATGAAGAGAGTAGAACTGGAGATAGTATTTTAATAGTGCTACCAGTCCTAGCATTCTCTGCAGAATTTATCAGCAAAATTCATACCCTTCAATTACCTATTTTTTTGTGCCTGTGGCTGAACTAATAACACAGACATGATGAGGCAAATAAAAATTCATCCGTGTATTCCTCACTTAGTATGTTTTTGCTGCTGCTACTAGTGACACCTGTAACTGCTGCTGCCAGAAATCTGTGCTTGTATGAGAAGACAGATTCTTCAATATCTGTGCACAGAAATTCATCCAAATACTTGCAACTGTTGCTTTCTCCACTCCTGAGCAGCATGTATAGAAAATTCCTCCCCATTTCAATGACATAACAGAAAGTTTTAATAAAACCAGCAGCAACAAGGCTCTACTACAGCACCTGTGGAGAATGACACTTCCTCCTTAAACATACGTAGTGCTTATCACTCATTTCTCAGGCTCTCTGACATCCCATTCAATATAACACTTATGTTTATGTCCATTATGTCCACTCCACTTCAGCTTCCTCCTATAAATTGTTTTGTCTGCCAGCTCTGCACAAGATGGATTATCTATGAGAACATCAAGTATGATGGGTAACAGTTGATGTCTCCTACTTTATCTCAGTTTGGGTCTCACCCCTTAACAAACAGCCAATAATCCAAATGGCAAACACCCAAAAAATCCAGATATGAAAGAGAGAGTATTAATGTGTAAGCACAGGTAAAAGTCAGTGCAACCTGCACTTTCTTATAGACCTCGGAATCCACCAACAAGACACAGAGGCATAAGAAAAACTGGTTAATTCTGCTGCTCACAACACTAGTTGGTGTTTATTGAGAGTACTCTATCTAAAAGTATGTCTGCACTGTTGTTCTGATTAGTCTACAGCCTACAGTTTCAGCCTGAAACATGTTCAAACTGACAAATACTGAAAATGTAGCTCCTTCAGCTAAATACCATATCAAATAAAAAATCATCTCAGTCTAATTGGAATCTCAGTGTAATTATGTCATATTTTTTCATTATGCTCATGGTGATGTGCACAGATATACCTGGCTGCCAAAAGAGAAACTTGTTTGTTGTACTGATACTGCCCGACTCGATTTCCTACATTTACCACACTTTTTTTCTGGACTAAAGGTATATGGTACTCCTGTATGACTGACCAATAAAACTCCCCAAAGGGGAAAGGCTCAGAGGAGATGGGCAAGGGTGATGCCCACGAAGCTCAGGGAGAAACACAGGATGTGACTGACCACAAGCTGTTGCAGACAAAGCCAATGTATCTCAACACAAAGGGGACTGGAGGGTGGCCTTAGTTTTAGACAAGCAGCTATCAACATTTGGGTGGATCCACAGATTACATTGACAGTTTTTTGTGTAAATATTTCTCCCTGAGCTCACTGAAAGAGAATGGTTCGTTGAGTTGGGGACACAGCATGAGGGGGGTTATACAAGGCTCAGCCCAACAGAGAGTATAAAAACTGAACAACCAACAAAAGAATTCCAGTAAGGGTGATGGACTTGAGCTGCTTCACCCTACATACTTCTTCCCAGTGACTGGGGACATCCAGCATCATGTTGGTGATCATATTACAGAGAGGGCAGTGGAGGTCACATGGGTATTGTGACTGAAATCTATGTTGCGGTTGCTGTATTTTGCTAAGTGTGACCTCACATTTGTATTGTGATTTTGTCACGAATGAGTGGCTTAGGTGGCTCAAATAGTAATCAGCAAAGGTGTTGGCAA